TCCAGAAATTTTGGAAACAATTTTCGAGCTTTCTACGAATTTATACAAATTTTTAACTAAATCTGAAACTGTGTTGAGAATAATCCGTCTTGAATTTGCCAGCATGTTACCCGAATTTTTAGACAATTTTATACTCGGAATTTCGAGATGATTTCTTCTACAAAGTTGTTGATAATGATGTCTAGATTATCCAGAAATTTGTTTAACAATATTTGAGCTTTCTAAGAATTTATACAAATTTCTAACTAAATCTGAAACTGTGAGACAGATTTTACCATGTATTTGAAAATTTAATTAAAATTCTATACTAAGCCAAATCTGGTAATTTCTAACTAAAATATGAAATTTGAGAAGTCTAGTTTCATGATAAATTTTTCGATTATGGGTTTGATCTATAAATTTAAGCATGGAATTAATGTAAGGAATGTGACAAATCTGTGTCATAAACACCCTTGGAATTTGTTTAGAATTATTTATAAGTTATTTTTGGAAAATACTTTCTGCAAAATAACCATAACATGTTTATTGAGTATCCTGTAGATTGATATGAATTTTAGAGTTGTATAAGTAATGTATTTATAATTTTATTTGCAAGATATATACTCTGAAAAGTTTTCTGGACAGGATGAAATCACCACTTTAGTATTATGCTAGTCTAATTTTGTAAATCAAAAATTTGTGCATGTGTGTATTTATGGTTTAATTCTGGTATCTAAGTTATTATTTCATACCATGATTTAAATAAATTGTTTAGTTAAATTCTGTACTTTTATTTAGTATTGTGTGACACATGCAATATTTTATGATTGGGAATTTTAATGAGCTGGTATAACATTACTTGTGATTAAAAATTTGAAATTATTTGTGATTAATATCAAAATTAACTGAAATGATTAACGGCATATACAAAGTTAACAATTGACGGTTAATACCAGTTGTTCGGGGTGAGTCTTGGTTTAAAGACTGTACGGAATTAAGAGTTGACGGTTAACACCGGTTGTTCAGGGTGAGCCCTGGTTTTGAGAATTCTCACGTAAATTGTGTTGCGAAACTCTAAGATGGCACGGGACTTATTTGAACCCTTTTCGGTATTCTAAACTACAAACTACGTTCTCACTTTCCATAGCTAGAGATCTAAGGAAACTGCAGGACGTTCGGATAACTCACTGTGGCATGATGAAAGCAATTGTTTCAAGTGAAAAATGATTTATATTTACGAAAATTATAAAAATTATATAATTAATTATTATAAATTATTATTATATATAAAAATTATATTATTTCAATGCTTGAGTGTTGTGGGTGTGGCCATTGGTGTGTGTGTCATTGTGTGGGTTGGCTTTGGTTGGTAGTAGAAACGCCATTTCAAATAAAAAAAAAAAAAAAAAAAAAAAAAAATTGGGGCGTCACAAAAAGGTTATTGGAACGAGGCCTCCGGCGGCAATGAACACAACTGGCGCGAGGAGCAAAGCGTTTCCACAGACGGCGCCAACTGTTAATACCGTTCGTCCCAATGGATGGATCAGACTGGTCCAAGCTCCCCAAGGCCAAGCCCAGATGATCAAGCCCACCGGATATCCTGCAAACAAGTTCAACGGGGAACGGGGTAGTCCCCCAGTGAACCCTCCGACGATCAAGTTAGGAAGAGAAGTGGAGTATATGGGAGAAGATTAGAGATGGAAAGCTTAACCTTTTTCTTGTCTACAACGTTCGCTTATATCCTTTGGCAATCATTTCGCTGTCCCTTCCGACCTGTTCTCCTTGCCGAAAGCCTATGCTGTAGCTCACCTTGCTCAAGGTAAGAGGGTTCTGTTCCGGCGAAGAGGTGTTGTCGTAATAAATGTTGTGATGGGCTGCCTTAATGGTGATGTGTAGTGGCAATAACTTTGCAGATCTTTATCTGCTGTTGTGGTTCGTCCTTCTCTTGCCGTGTGTCTAAATGTCATTGGCTCTTTATGCCATGTTGGACTCCAACTATCCTGGACCTCATCAGTTGGGTTATGCACTGGGCTTCAAGTGATGGGCCATGGGTGGTTCATGGCCTTTATGGGCTTATACACATCAAAATTAATTATTGATATTGCATAAAAAACAGAAAACAAGTTTTAAATTAAAATATTAAAATGTATAAAATATATAAAAATTCTTTATTTAAATTTCGGTGTCTAAAAAGTTAAGCTATTTATGTCTTTCATAAAAAAGAGAACACAAATAATCAACTTAAATAATTTAATTTTTTTTTTTCATATAATTTTTTTAGGGCAAATTACCAACACTCCTCTCGAGATTTGACTAAAATACGAATTCCTCCTGATATATCCCGCCTCCTGAAATTTATATTTTCATAACAAATTGCCTCGTGGGGTTTATATTTGCATACCAAATTGCCCCCTCATTTGTTATGCAAATATTAACCTTAGTGGACAATTTGTAATTTCTCAAACTTCAACAAAATTTCCAAAAAGTTTCTCCAAAATCATTTCCCAAAGTGAAACCAAACAAGGCTTGAGGGTTTGTGAGGAAGGGGTCGAGACTAGAGAGAGAGAGATAGAGAGTTGAACGATTTTGAAATTTGAATTCTGAGAAGTGAAAGAGGAAGAACTTGTGATTTTGTATTATCTAAGCCGTTGAAATCTTTCAACTTATGTTTGGATTGAGTGATTTGGAGAGAAAAGAAAAGAAATAGAGGGATATGCATTTCTCTTACTTGTTTGGATAACCTAAGTGGAGAGAAATGGAAATAAATGACGAGAAACGGAGAGAAACCCATTTCTCTTATAACCATAATTTTCAATCTTCCCAAAAGTGGAGAGATTGGGAGAGAAAAGAAATTAACAGATTATTATATTTTCATAATACCAATTTTGTCCCTACAAAAATAAAAGAAATAAAATAATTGACAAAATATAAAAACGTTATTTTGGTTATATAACATAAAATAGTTTATTTTCTTTTTTATTATGAAATCTAACCAAACAAGAAGGAGATAAATCACAATCATTTTCTTTTATTTCTTACTTATCCAAATAAGATGAGAGAAATTACAATCATTTTTTTTCCTCTTGTAATTTAAGTAACAACAATGATTCATCCCACTAATTTGGGAGCACTAATGAGGTGGAAATTAAAAATAAAAAAAATAAAAAAAAATACAAGAACAAAACATCCTATCATGTGAGACCCACATCAGTGTTTTTCTTTCTGGCTCCAAGCTCTACAACCGTCTTCATTCCTCTATTTCAGCGAAGCGTTCGCCGTTCTGCTCTGTCTGTAATCGTTGCCCTACCTCGGCGAATTTCATAACGGCTCCATTTGTTCTGGTAAGATTCCGTTTCTCTTATTCTTAATTTCTTCTATGCGCTTTTGTTTACTTGCTGCCATTTTTGTTTTGTTCAAACCTTGGATTGTTCATATGGATGTGTCCATTCATGATTTCACTTATCTCTTGAACACTTGCACTGTTTCAACACTTTTCTTGCCACAGTTCTTGACCTTTTACTTCTGTACCTCTTTCGCTTTTGAGAATCATATCTCTGTTCTTGATTCTGAAATGCCATTCTTTGTTTCTTGTTTTCTGTTTTTCCTTTCCAGATCTGTTCGTTTGATCTTGTTCTTCATAGTGCTTAGGCTTGGGATTTGTTTGTAGAACCTTTACTTTAGGGAAAACTTTACTTTTGAGAATCATACTCATTTCTAAGACCTAGCCCTCTGACTTTAGGCCGACGTTATTGGTATGTGGAGACATCGGGTAAATACCCCAACAAAACTCGAATACTTTAGGCAGGAGTTCTCCATCCCAGCCGATGTTCACCTTAGGCTAGCCAGGGATGGTGATTCCATCATGCCCATAGATCATATGATGCCCTTTCCTATTGTAGCCTTTACTGAATGTGGACTCCGGCTTCCACTCAATCCCCTCTTTCGCGAGGTTCTCCACTACTATAGGCTGAACCCTATGCAACTTACCATCAACTCTTATCGAGTGATTAATGGTATCATAGCCCTAACTAGGCAGCAAAATGTTAGGATTACCCTTGATACCATGTGCCCCCTTAACCTGAAGGAAAGAGGTTACGTCTACTACCTCAAGCCGAGGTCTACTGAATTCAAAATTGTAGCCGACCTCCAGGACTCCAACAACGGAGTCGGAGATGACTTTGTCATTGCTTTGGGAAATTGGGAATTTGGTCCAGACGAAGATGTTCACCTCTACCCTCTTCCTCGAACAGTTAAAGAGGGCAAGGGTAAGAGTCCAGCATCAATACTTAGTTATTTCTTTTCCAAGTCTTCAAAACTTTGTCTGTTTCTAATGACCGTTTGTTTGTCCTGCAGATCTTCATCAACCACCAAAAAACTTTCGCCAATCGTACTTCCCAGGAAAAGATTTAAAGAAGCTCCTTGATCTTCCAATCCACAAGCGCAAGGCTCCCCTGCTACTGAATTTTATCCCGACATACAAATCCACACTACCCGACGTCCCAAAAAGGAAGAAAAAGAGTCTTTCTCCACCTTCTGCCACAACTCCTTCCATTGCTTCCACATCACGAGCAGACGAAGGATCCACTTCTAACCCAGTCGATCTGCCGTCTACTTCAGCCCCATACTTGATCCCAATACCAGAAAGAAAACGTCGGCAACGCCTTGTCAAAACTGCCGAAATGGGTCGCGCAAAGCCAATTGCCCAAAATCTCTTAGCCGACCTTCCGACTGATGCTGATGCTGTACCAACCCAACCAATGCCCCCACCGAAGCCAAGAAGAAGCAAGAAGGCCCAGCCTAAGGCCAAGGCTACTAAAGTTGAGGTTGAGGATACTTTGCCTATCTCAAAACTGGCTGAGAGTAAGAAGACTTCTTCTGCTCCTTCAAAAAGGTCTGACGAGACCCAGCCCTCCTAGTCCACCCAATCAAAGAAGCCGAGGTCTGCCTCAGCTACTACTTCGGGGTCCAAGAAACCCGATGTCCCCTGGGCCCCAAAGTTGACTCTGGAGCATAGGCCAATTATGTCGACTGAGAGTGCCGACGACATTAATGTCGGTGTCTCCCTCAGTACTGCTCTTCTTCTTCCAAGCGATCTGGAGCGAAATGCTGGGTACAACGAGTATGAGAATTATGCGTTAATGCTCCAGCACTCCGTTCAAGTAAGTATTTCTTGTTTTGTCTTTTCTTTCTGTTGCACACTTAGAAGATTTTCTAACACTTCTGTCTTCTTTCAGGCCATCCAGCACACCCATTCGTTTTCAATGCAATCTTTTGAAAATCGGCAAAGAGTGGTCGATATGAAGAGGGAGGTTTCTGCCCTCAAAAAGGAGAACAAAGCTATTCTGACAAAGATGAAGAAGCTGGAAGATCAGGCCGAGGCTACCATTAAGGCCCAACAGATGGCTGAAGAGAAAGTGGAGTCTGCTGAAGCCATAAAAAAAGTTGCTGAGGCCGAGAAAAAAGATGCCGAGGTAAAAAAGGCTCAAGCCGAAAAAGAGCTCGAGCAGGCCCTGGCCACTAAAAACGCCGAAATTACTGAAGCCGATGAAAAAGCTTACGCCCAAGGAATGACCGATGTCACTGAGGAATACAAACTTCAAGTTAAGCAGGCATGCAACAGGGGCTTTTCCCTTGGTTGGATGGCCCTTGCCAAAAAACTCAGCATCCCAGATGACTCGCCGTTGCACAAGGCTGAAGCTATTCCTCTCCCATTTCCTCCTCTTCCACCTCCAAGTCAGGCTGAAGAAGAATCTGAGTCTGAGTCTGAAGCCGAAGATGAGGATAAGGATGACGGTGATGCTCTAGTAAGGAAGCCCAAGCACGCCGATGAGATCCAATCTCTTCCCCAAGATGATCAAATCCTACACCTGACTCATGAAGAGGATGAGGAGGTTATTAAGGAGGCAACTCCTGAACAAGCATCATCCGACTTTCCTCCAGCCGAAAAAAATCTTGATGAAACACTCGCAGAGATTGACGCCGAGATTGAAGCAGAAAAGATTGCCGAAGAGGTTCCACCAGAATCTTCCAAGGTCCCAGCGCCTCCAACTGTTAATGCTGAAGAATCTTGATTTGAATGTCTTTATTTCCTTGCCTATGTACTCTGTTTTGTTTTCTGAACAATGTAAACTTCCTCTTATGGCCGATGTGCCTTCCTTTATATATAACTGCAATTGTTTTTTTTTTATTTTTTTTTTTTTTTATTTTTATGGATGCTTCAATCTTTTAATTTCTTTTTGATTTGCTTCTGCATGGTTGTATGCCTTCTATATTTTGCCACCTTTGTGCAATCTCCTCGGGGTTACATACCTCGGGTATAATAACATCAAACTTTATTTCGACAAGATTCAGACCTGAAAAACTTTTGATAAATTCCAACAAGTGTTTAACATATACAATTCAATGTTAATTCTGTAAGTTTCTTCTCAAGTTTCAACAAGTACGTAAACAGTGATTTCGGTCTAACCTACTTGTAAATTGCTACCAATTTCAACAAGTGTTACCATATACTGTAAACTGTTCTCAAGTTATAACAAGTGTTAAATAATGGTCTACTTGTAAATTGCTGCAAATTTCAACAAGTGTTTGAACAATATACTTAGCTTTTACTTCAACCTGTAAATTGCTGTAAATTTCGACGGATGATCACATGTCGGCTTAACATTATCTTGTAAATTGCTACAAATTTCAACAAGTGAAGACAAGGAATCAGCTTGACTCCAACTTGTAAATTGCTACAAATTTCAACAAGGATTAACATAACAAGTGTTAAACAATAATCTATTTGTAAATTGCTACGAATTTCAACAAGTGTTTAAACAATATACTTAGCAAGACGAAGAATCAGCTTGCTTAACTCGGTAAGTCCTCATCTCGATTTAATTTCAGTTTAACTATTTGGTGTTAACCAACTTGAAATTGCTAAATACATTATCTTGGTTTAACCAACTTGTAAATTGCTACAAATTTCAACAAGTGGTAAACGCATTCTTTTTCTTCCTGCCCCCAATGTAAGCCTGAGTTCTACTGAGGTTCTCATTATTCATGTCTCCAAAAACATCAGTATGTAATTTTATCAATCATGTGTAGAAAGAATTCTTGAAAAAACTTTATTAAAGACATCGGCAAAAAATACTGCACATCTACTGATAGAAGAATTTCAAATTACAAGTGTTCCAAGGTCTTAGCAGTGCTTTGCCCTCGTTATCTTCAACTCGATAAGCTCCATTGCCTAATACCGAAGTAATTCTATAGGGTCCTTCCCAGTTTGGGCCAAGCTTGCCCTCTCTAGGATCCTTTTTGTTGCCGACGACTTTTCTTAGGACTAGGTCGCCGACTTGAAAATCTCTTGGATTGACCTTTTTGTCGTAAATTCTAGCAAACTGTTGCTGGTATACTGCTAGTTGAATTGCAACTTTTTCTCTTCGTTCTTCCAGAAGATCCAGATCTCGGGCTAAGAGTATGTCATTGGTGCCATTCTCTACTCCCTGGGTCCTGATCCCTGGGATGCCGATTTCTAATGGAATGACTGCTTCTGTGCCATAAGCCATGGCAAAGGGGGATTCTCCTATGGATCTTCTCGGCGTAGTCCGATATGCCCAAAGTACGTTGGGCAATTCGTCTACCCACTTTCCTTTTGCCTGCAGCCTTTTATTTATTCCATCCAAAATTACTTTGTTGGATGCTTCTGCTTGACCATTACTTTGGGGAAAACTTGGTGTTGAAAAATAGTTCTTGATCTTGAATTTCGCACAAAAGTTCTTGATGAGTTTGCTGTCAAACTATGTTCCGTTGTCGGCAACTATTGCCCTTGGAATGCCAAATCTGGTGATAATGTTTTTCCACATAAAGTTCTTGACGTCCACATCTCGAATTTTGGCAAGAGGTTCTGCCTCTATCCATTTGGTAAAGTAATCTGTTGCCACCAGCAGGTACTTTCTCTGCCCAGTTGCCTGGGGAAGTTGCCCGACAAGATCCATGCCCCATTGGGCAAACGGCCAAGGGCTGGATACTGGGTTCAGGTCAGCGGCTGGCTGATGTATTAAAGGTGCAAACCTTTGGCATTGTTCACACTTCTTCACGTAGGCTTCAGCATCCTTTTGCATGTAGGGCCACCAATACCCCTGGGTAATGGCCCTGTGGGCTAGTGATCTACCCCCAGCATGGCTTCCACAAATTCCTTCATGTATTTCATAGAGGAAATCCTCAACCTGCAAAGGGTGTACGCACCTTAAAAGTGGTCCAGTGAAGGACCTTCTGTAGAGATATCCATCTTCTGTTAGACAGAATCTTGCAGATTTCAATCTGACTTTGTGTGCCTTCTTACGATCTTCTTGCAACTTTTCTTCTTTCAAGAATGCAATAATTGCATCTATCCAGCTTGGCCCCATGTCCACACACATTGCTTGCTGCTTTGTGCTCCTTGGTTCTATGCTCGGGCCCGACATGTTGTCGATCATAATTGTTCTTGTTGTTCCAGTCTGTATTGAACTTGCTAGGTAAGCCAACGCGTCGGCGTGGGTGTTGTCATCTCGGCTGACTTGCAGTAGTCGGCAGTTCTGAAATAGGGCTGCCAATCTGATGACCTCTTTAGCATATGCCGACATCCTTTCGTCCCTGGCTGCAAATTCACCTGTTGACTGGTTAACAATAAGTTGTGAATCACAAAAAATAATTACCTCATCTGCTTCTGCTGCTGCTGCCAGTTTTAGCCTTGCAATTAATGCTTCGTACTCCGATTCGTTGTTTGAGGCCTTGAACCCCAAACGGATGGATTTTTCTATTATTTCTCCATCTGGAGATATCAGCAGTACTCCTGCCCCTGCTCCTTGACGGTTTGAACTTCCATCGACGAACAGTCTGAATGAATCGCCGATGTAGATGCTGCAGGGTCTGAGTTTTTCCTTCCTTTGCTCTTTTGCCTTTGGCCGGGCTTCTCCTTGCTTGCTAGGATACTGCTCATCTCAGCTCAACAGAGCCCGATGTTCGATGGTTTTGGGTGTGAATTCTGCCACGAAGTCGGCCAAAACTTGGCCTTTTATTACTGTTCTCGGCCTGAACTCCAGGTCATATTGACCCAGGGCCACTGCCCATCTTGCTATCCTTCCAATTAAGTCTCCTTGTTGCAACAAGGACTTCAGTGGGTGCTCTGTTAGGACCACAATCTTGTGCGCCTGAAAATAATGGTTCAACTTTTTTGAAGCCATTACTAAGGCCAGTATTAATTTCTCCCGTGGTAGATACCTTTTTTCTGCGCTGGCCAAGGTTTTGCTTACATAGTAAACCGCCTTTTGCTCCCCTTTTTCTTCTCGGATTAGTACTGCACTTACTGCGTGTTCTAACACTGCCAAGTACAAAAACAGTTCTTCCCCTGGTTCTGGATTGGAAAGAACCGGAGTTGTGGTCAAGTACTTCTTTAGGTCGGTTAGAGCGGCTTCGCATTCTTCTGTCCATAGAAAGTCTGTGGCTTTTTTCACCAAGTTAAAGAAGGGTCTGCATTTATCTGAGCTTCTGCTGATGAATCTGTTTAGGGCTTCGGCCCTTCCAGTAAGCATCTGAACCTGTTTTGCCGACGTTGGGCTCTGCAGCTCTAGGATGGTCTTGATTTGGTCTGGGCTCGCCTCAATGCCCTTTCTCGTTACCAGATACCCTAAAAACTTGCCTGATCCAACTCCAAACGCGCATTTTGATGCGTTGAGTCAGAGCCGGTATTTTTTGAGTATATCAAAGACCTCTTTTAGGTCGGCAAGATGACCCTTAGATTCCTTGGTCTTCACGACCATGTCATTGATGTAGACTTCTACCGTTTTGCTAATCAGGTGCTTGAACATTTTTGTTACTAACCTTTGGTAAGTTGCTCCTGCGTTTTTCAACCCAAAAGGCATTACCTTGTAACAGTACAAGCCTTTAGGGGTGATGAACGCAGTCTTCTCTTCGTTTGGTGGGTACATGGCAATCTGGTGGTACCCCCTGTATGCATCCAAAAAACTTATCATTTCGTGCCCTGAAGTTGTATCTACTAGCTGGTCAATCTTGGGCAGAGGAAAGCTGTCTCTGGGGCAGGCTTTGTTGAGGCTGGTAAAGTCTACCCAGACCCTCCATTTACCGTTCTTCTTTTTCACTACCACTGTGTTGGACAGCCATGTCGGATAGTGAATTTCTCAGATGGCCCTGGCTTCCAGAAGTTTGTCTACTTCTTCTTCCACTGCTTCGACGTGCATCAATGTCGGTCTCCTGGCTCGTTGAATCACAGGTTTTGTCGACCTGTCGACATTTAGTCTGTGGCAAGTGACCTCGGGGTCAATGCCAGGCATTTCATAAGGTGTCCAGGCGAACACCTCGATGTTGGCTCTCAAAAAATCTTCCAGTTCTTTTTCCTCTTCTTCGGCTAAGCCTGAACCGAGAAGAAAGAAACATTCTTCGTCGCCCTCCTGGACTAGGATTTTCTTTAGTGTTTCTTTACTCTTTTCGGTTGGCTCCTTGCCGACATCATCTAGGACCTCCATGTCCTTGTCTTCAATCTCTGCCTCTTTTGGCTCTCGAATGTTACAAGTGGACTTTATTGCTACCATGGAGCAACTTTTTGCCTGCAGTTGATCTCCTCTGACTTCTTCAATTCCATGCTCTGTGGGGAACCGTAGTAGTTGATGCAATGTTGAGGGAACTGCCCCCATTGTGTGCAACCATGGTCTTCCCAAGATGATGTTATATGGTGAAGGTGTGTCAATCACCATAAATTCTGTCTTGATCTTCTTAGTACCAGCTTGTACTTCCACGCTTGCTGCGCCCAGTGGCCATGTCGGCGTTCCATTGAAGCCGACCATAGGGTGATATATATATATATATATATCCACATAAAAAAAAAAAACAAAAGTTACACCTTTTGAGTTGTGGAAAGGGCATAAACCAAATTTGAGATATTTGAGAGTTTGGGGTTGTCTAACCTTTGTTAGACTTGTGGACCCTAAAAGACTTAAATTAGGTGTGAAAGCTGCCACTTGTGCTTTTCTTGGATACGCAACAAATAGTACAGCCTATAGATTTTTTGATATTGAAAACAAAATAATTTTTT